ATGAATAATATCAATATTTTAAAATTAAATTTTGCCAAAACATTCACCACGATTTCTTCAATACCTGGTTGATGCACAATACAAGAGTGTATGGCTCAAAACGTTGATGATGTTGATGACGCTATACTTATTCATCGTTTATCAGTTCTGGATATTTGACACGCATATAATTTCGCCAGAAGGCGTAATAAATCTATGGCCATTCTAAAGTTGTGTCTAGTTTGGCACGTATGTGTTAAGCATTAAAAACAGCAAGAAAATGAAAACAGGAATCATCTCATTTGTCGAGTTTTGCAGTAATTGGAAATAAAATAACTACGCACATTTTTCTTCATTCATCAATGGCTTCTCAAAAGCTATTCAATAGTTCTGTACTTGCAGGTTAAAATATGTAAGACAAATACTAAATTGCAATGGGATGCACACGCTTGGATAGGGAGATAGATTGGTAGGTTGCTGCATAGATAGACCTGTCCTGTTTGTGCAACCGCCAATTACATAAACAAGCTCTCTATTCCATTGTTCCATTGTTCGCACCACCATCGACTATACTGGAGTCAACTTCAATATTTCTGAGTTCAATATATAGCTGAATACTTGCAAATGGTATCGAATAAAAGTACTATTGTACATCATAATTGTACTACACGACGCTCGTAAGTTTTTAATACTTACATTGTAATAGTTTATGATAATTCAGCACCATAACATTTTGTGAATTGTCCGTCAAATGTGTTTATTTGTATGTTTCATGTGTATATATTGCAGGTCTACATGTTCTCCATCTTCATGGTCTTCTTCATCCTCTTCTTCTCGTGATTAATTTAGTTAGTCATCAAGTCTGATTAAAGTACAAGAACCCACGGCGACGTAACGTTATTTCTTCCAAATACCAGGAACAACATTTACGCCTCTGATGCGGGGGGTCGTGGGTTCGATCCCCGGTCGAGTCATACCAAAGTCTTACAAAAATGGTACTAACAGCTGCCTCGCTTGGCGCTCAGCATTAAGAGGTTAGTGTTAGGACTGGTCGGCCTGGTGTCAGGATAATGTGACTGGGTGGGACATCATGCTACATGTCTGCGGCATGATGCCCCAGTGCTAGACATCACTATAAACTGCCACACTGCAGACATCGTAGCGATATGACTGGAAAATTGTTAAATCTACGTTAAAAATCATAATCATAATCACAATCACATTTAAAATGGCGCTCACCATGGGACACGCCGTAACATTGGCCACGTCTTCGAGGTTTTCAGTGACCACTTGGGCCATGTCTTCGAATACACCTCTAGCCAGATAATCAATGGTGCAAATTCATCAGGACTATGGTAATAATCTTTTTGCTACAACTCTTAGCAAGAAAAAAAAATTTTTGGGAGGGGGGTAATGCTATCTATGGTAAATCGCCATTCCGGAGGATTAAATGTCATCAGATAGATTCCTTAAAGAGGCGAATAACATTAGCGCCTGTAATGACCGGTCACTCTGCATTAAAAGTAGTATCTTGGATGACCAACATTGGAACATCCATAGATAATGTTGAACAAGTCTTCAGAGTAACAGTATACTCAATATACCTAGAACTGTACATTGTGTACGTTGACGCATGTAATCAATGAATAGAATTGTACTGTTATGTACGTAGGCCCATGTAATTAAAAAAAAAACACTTGGCTTGCTTCAATCTGCATAGCATGGAAAGGCGCGATATATGCACATAATTAAAATTTTGCTTTCCATCTTAACAACGAAGAATTTTTCAAGTTCATTCCAATAGTTTTGTTAACAAGTAATTTAATTTATAAAAAAAAAATATCGGCAGCATTTGATTCGTCGAGTTCTTGCAGTTAACTTTTTAAGTCGTCCTTAATGATCCCAAAAGTGGATAAAATAAGACCTCACAGAAATGAAACCATATCGATAAATGGTGATTGCTAAACTGATATAAGATGTATCACCTTTAGCAGCCATAAATGGAAATTAAATTGTCGTTAAATTTATCTGAATATTAAAATTGAAAGCTGAATGCTACCATAAATCACTGTATCTCGTCACGGAGCTATATAACAACCACTGAAGATTTTGCCTAGCGGCTATCGCCAAAAACGTATGATTCTTTGTGAGAGTATAAAACTATATTACACATGTATAAACATTTTTTATTTGATATAATATAATCAAAACTTACAAGTCATGACGCACGAAAGTAATTATAACTCTTGATAAATGCAGGGCTCGTGACTACTGACGATGACACCGTACCTTATGCTGAGTTGCCTATCGGCTTAACTTTGATGATGATGATGATGATGATGATGATGATGATGATGATGATGATGATGATGATGATGATGATGATGGTGATGATGGTGATGATGGTGATGATGATGGTGATGGTGGTGGTGATGGTGGTGGTTTTCATGGTGAAGGCGATAATGAATATCATTATATCACTAATCATATGGTTACTTGGCTCTCGGTTGAGCTTACTGAGACAGATGCTGCTAGTCGTGGTATTCATGACGACGACGATAGCTATTATATCATCGAACCGTATGATTACTTGGCTAATGGCTTAGCTTTTATTGGTAAGATCTGATTATATGAGAGAGAGAGAGAGAGAGAGAGAGAGAGAGAGAGAGAGAGAGAGAGAGAGAGAGAGAGAGAGAGAGAGAGAGAGAGAGAGAGAGAGTTTTTAGAATAGGCCTATAGTTTCATATATATCAATAAAAGTTGTTAGTCCCAGATCAGAGAAGAGTGTCTGCCTATATTTACAGCGATCTCCGCTACCTCTTCCTGCCAAAGCTTCCACAAAGATGTACCATCATAATTGATACCTTATTCTTAAAAGGACCACTCTCTTCTCTCTCTTCCTCTCTGATCAGGAGCCGAGGCATATCTTAAGCAGTACAAGATTCCATCTCATAGCAAGAAATGAGAAGAATGTTATGTTAAGAAACAACAATTACAGAACGAACTCGATATTCGATCGGAACAAACAACTTACTATATAAAAAGAACATTTCCTTACATAACGAAGATTTTCTTACATAACATCACCATGTTATCTTTTCAAAAAGAACTCTGGGTATCAGGTACTAGTCATTGTCGACAAATAAGAGTACATGTCCGAAATAGTCTCATTTATCTTATTTATTTATTATAATTTATCCATTTGTTGTGTGATGAAAATATGACATTAAATGAGTAAATATGATATTCCAAACATAAATTATATACTCGCTTATAATCAATTAGTGAAATATCCTATGGAATGCTTTGTCGTTTGTCTTTTTGACCAATATTCAGATATTGTATTTAGTCGTCGCACCGTCAAACTACTAGTTACTGTTACGACTTGATTCTCTTCAACTATACAACAGAAAAGAGCTCCAACCAAGTTGCATTAAATTTTAAGATAAAATTTATAAAAGAACTTAAACCGAATTGTAAATTTAATTCCCAAATAGTTCCAACAGTTCTGTCAAGAAAGTAAACAAAAATTGAGAATATTTCAAGTGAATTCCAAGGGTGTTCCAAAGATAGTTTTGAAGGTGTTGTGCTAAAAGCTTGAAATAGTGTTGATTTTCCAAGTTTGATGTCTTGCAGTGATATGATCAAAAATGTATATCAATGAACTCGCAATAATCTAAAACTAGTGATTTAGTCCAATACATATTATAGCACCTCGTAATTCCTACAATTTAAATAAATAAATCCTCTAAATATATTAACTAAAACACGCCTATAATTGATTCCTCTAAATACTGGTGTAAAGATAGAAATAATAAATTGTTTACTTGAAATAAAGCCACCTAGATAAAACGCAACAAAATGCCTTGCACACACACGCGCACATACAATGCTTTTTTCCTGTGCTATAAATACTTGTAAAATTTACTTAATAGGCAACACGTATTCAACGGGGCACTTTACTTTATGTGCTAACAATGCCACAATGTTTCATATGGCTAGCAATAGCTTGCACATCTAATGTTAACATGATTAACGCTAACGCAGGTGAGAATTAAAACACATCAAAATGAAATGAAAATACCTGGAAAAATTTCTTAACATTTATTATTGCTTTTTTTATTGGACACGTTATCACCTTGTTTCTTCGTTAAGGCTTTCTTGTTATCTTTTCTTTGTTTCTTCGATAATGAAATGTTCTGCTGAAAGCTCGCAAACTATTTAATTTAAATTTACTAAAGAAAAAAATTAACTGGCGTTGTCAAAGGCCCAGCAAATCCTCTTTTGTAAAATGCAAGCTTTTCATAATTGCACAGAAATGTAAAATTGTACAAATCTTTTAAGTTTAATTTAAGAATTGAAAGAAATTTACTTAAAATTTTTGGGAGTCACCACAGTTCAAATTAATGCGTAATCTCTATTTTGACGTCACTTTCGTTGTACCTTACCGCCATGTGCTACTACAAAGTAACAATTATACAATGAGTCACAGCGGGTAATAGCTGTCAGCTTTGCTATTAGTTACAGGTTAAAGCAATGGAGCTTCTATGCAAATGATATACATGAATGTTCCTTTCTTACCCAGTCTAAACCCTCCTTAAGTCATATACGTCCAACCACTTTACTTGGTACCGCAAAATATTATGATAAAGTAAACAAATATTTGTTTAAAAAATTCACGATCTCGCTCCTTTTGGGATATAAATAAAACTATCACGTTAGCGCAATCGCAATCGCGGTGCGCAGTCGCTATATAATAATAATAATAATAATAATAATAATAATAATAATAATAATAATAATAATAATAATAATAATAATAATAATAATAATAATAATCTTTCTTTAACGAGGAATGCACTTGGTCATGATTTGCCCATATGCAATGTGGTCATAAATTTTTATAATTGGTTATGTTGAAAATAGAAACAAAATACAAAATCGTACACGTAATAGGGTATCGTTGCACTCTTATTCATACATATTTAACATGAATATGCGCGACTATACTTGAAAACACCGCTCGGGTGGCCTAGTGGTTAGAGCGTCCGCCTCTGATGCAGGAGATCACGAATTCGAACCCTTGCCGAGGCATTCCAAAGACTTATAAAAATGGTACTAACAGCTGACTCGCTTAGCGCTTAGCATTAAGAGGTTAGTGTTAGGACGGTATCTTGCATGGTGTCATAATAATGGCTGTGGGGACATCATGCTACATGTCTGCGGCATGGTGTCACAGTGCTAGACATCACTATAAACTGCCACACTGCAGACATCGTAGAGATATAGCTGAAAAAATTACAAAGTTACGTTAAAAATCCGAACCACACACACTAACACACACACACACACACACACACACACACACACACACACACACACTCGGAAACGTAGACATATATGAACAATATTCTATGCATAGATACATGCATTTCAACATAAAACTAAATCGTACGTACTACATATATCTAATAAGACACGGACGTATAATTTATGGATATAATGAGAGTTTTTTTATTTATATGCTTTGATATATCATACCAGCTGGTCAAGAAAGAATTTTAATGTTTGAAAACTAGTAAGGAAATTCGAAATGCTTATCCCGTAGTGGTAAGGAATATTACGTGCTGATACAGTGAATGAGCTTTTGTAATGGGTTGTTTTCGACGACCGAATCAGGAGATCGATGTTAGTTATCGATCGATGATTACGCTCAGCTTTAGTTTAGAGATGTAATATGAAGAAATATCGTTTAAAGACTTTTGTCACGATTCCTTTATATTTCCTCTAAAGACTGGCGTTAAGATAGGAATAAATACTTTTCTTTACTTCAAACTTATAGACTGTCCCCCTCCCTTTATGACACAACAAATTTCCCTGGGCCCATGTAACTGTAAATAAGTCTTTTTTGAAGTCTCTAAGGTCAAATTTATGACTGTATCTAGAACTCAAAGATAGTACACATGTTTACACTACATAGTATTAGTCCTGTAGGCCCAAACGTCTGCCATCAGTGTGGAAGTTCACACTGATACTCTTGTTGGGGTATTATTACTAGTGTAAAGTCGTGTAGTTGTATCGCATGTGGCCATTTAGAATTTGTATCAGATAGGCAAACAATATTAAAGTCTATCATGATAATCACTTTATTGTTGGAAGATAAAGCATCCTCTGGCTCATGTTTAGATTGGTAAGTCCATCATAAAAGTGAGTTTTGAGGTTAGTGAGTTGAACAGATATACATTGATGCCAGAAACTCATCCATGTGGATTCTATAGTAGATATTTCCAAACTTTGTTCTCATGTAGGTTAAGCTTTTTGAAATGTACGTGACTATGCCTCCTCATATGCTTTATGGTCAACCTCGTCTTTCCGAAGAAGTTTCTCATGGGGATAGCACAGTCATATACATTGCAATCTAGAAACGTTTCGCAATTACTGCAAAGTTGGATTTATTTTATATCGAAAGTCTAAGTTGGATAAGTTGCAGGCCTTTCTTTTCAGACCAAAAGATGTAGAGTTTATATTTTTCTAAGTCGTTGTAGGAATGAAGATAAATTGATTAGTTATTTCAGACCTAGAGGAGGAAATATTATAAAATTGGCATTAACAATTAGAATTAGTCCTTTTGAAAGACGTGCTGAGCAAATATCTCCAGGAACAAGATAATTATTTTTGACTGAGGTACATGTGGCATCATTGTACCCAGATAGACGTACGTCTGTTATGTACATCCTGTTGTTTGATCGAATGGTCTCTTTCTAGGACCTTGCATATAGATCGAGTCTACCTCGATTATCATCACATGTACTCCGTGTGTTTCTGTTCCAACCCATTAAGGACTTGCATTGCAAGTCTGGGGATCTTCTGTTGCCTATTTTGGTATCGCTTAGTTGAGTGCTTACTCACTTTTTTATGTGCTGTTTTGAGTACATAAGTAACACTATGCATATTTTTCAATAAGTTTGCTGCGCCCGCGTCGTTCCTGTGGATTGGGTGAGAATGAAAGAAAGTTGATGTTATTTTACCCAACGCTGGTAAACACTGTCGTGGATTGATATGTATGGTAGGGTGAATGAACTTTCAAGGTTTATCAGTATATCATCAAATTGCTTCCTATCCATTTCACGTCTTGAAATAAGGCCAGATATAACGACCTTGTCTACCTTGGTTATCAACTGGTTAATGAGGGACATGCATTTGATTTCAAACTGGTTTAATTCCAGATCGTTATTTTATCGTTATCATCGTTATTTTCATCTTGGACAACAATGGTATGGTAGTTATTTATGTCAATTTTTATCAGTTCTCTTTTGAGAATGCAAGTAGTGGCACCAGGGCATGGTTTCACAAGTACCTCGCATGAAAGTCCTCTGGTGCCTATTCCTTTCTTGGAAAGAGATGATCGGTGTCCATGTAGGTTTTGGAAAAGAAAGACAATGTCGATTTTAATCTGAGAATGTAATATTTTTCTTTAGAGCGTGTTGGTTTCATTTTTTGGTTGATTCCTGTATGACAAGTGACCGTTTCATTATCCAACTTTGGAAATTTTTAATTGCTTTTATCAATTCCATTACATTTTTGTTTTGTTCAACAATACAGCTGGGTTTTTATTTGTTATAAGTTTGGCATCTAATGTTTCTGTTTCATTTCAAGTTGTATTGAGGTTGATTTGTTATATATAGCCATGTGATTAGTGATGCTTCATATTTGGTTGTTTGTTTACAATGGATTTCTGTATTGTTTGACAGAATTTGTATTTGGTTTAAAATGACCGTTGCACAAGCACGCACGTTATCGAAGCATGAACCATTCTAGGGTCTATATGTATTTTCTACATTGAGTACAGAGCCAGAATCATGTTGGTCTGTTCTGCTAAAAACAGCACAAATATCGTGGTATTAAGACATGCATTATGTTACACGTTGTCATATTTGTAAATTTTGCTTATGATTTGTATTGCCTCTTGCTTTATGTTGATTATTAGATTCAGCTTCTGAGTTTTTCGTCCCGGTTCGTTGAGATAATGCTTGAGATTTGTTACGTCTATTTTACTTGTATTATAATTTCGTCCCTAGCGCTCGGTTCGTTTTGTTCGTTCAAATTATCGCAATATGCCTCAGTGCTATTTACATCTGGTTCGTCGTCTACCTGTTCTGAATTAGAGTCATCGCCTTGAATGTGCAAGATGGATTTTTGACAATTATTGATTCTTTTTTCTATTTTTTGGCTTATTGATTTTCTAAATTGTTGCCTCCGTTTTTAAGCTTATGAAATCTTGCCTCATTTTTGAGCATGTTACTGATGTAATGTGTTGTGCTTTCTAGAAACGTCTCATTATGACTGGGTAAATGAATTCACATGTCGGCATAAATCATGTTTATGTATTGAATTTTGCTGAAGCAGCATAATTCGTTGAGAGAAATCATTTATCAAGGATGTATATTTTACTCGTTATTCTATGTCAACTTTTGCAAGATCTGGATCCATTTTAACTGCTACAGAATAAAGGTCAGCTTTTCTCTTCTCTTTAGGCTTTGTTGTTGCGTTGCACTTGAATCCACTTAAAAAAAGATCTGCATAGAATATAAAATATAGACTTGCGGTTAATATAGTATATATGTAATTTGTTCAAGCTTAGCTGCTTTTCACACAACTTAGTCGTGGCTCGCAAATGGTCGAGTGGTCTAAAGTGCTCACCGTTACGGATCACTGACATATCACCTCAGTCTGCATGGGTTCGAGTCTCAGGCTCGGCCATTGTGGGTATGTGAAAAACTTGCCGGTATCTTCTCGTGGGTTGGTTGTTCTTTTCGGGGTTTTCTTGGGTTCTACCTCCACCATTAATACTGGCCGCCATGTATAGCCTATCGTAGCCTGAGAAATGACATTAAACCCTACACCAACAACAACACACAACGTAGTCGAGTGTCAATAGGTTGATACAAAACTTTTGTTGAACAAATCAGCTCCAAAAATATATGACCTTGTTAAGATGAGAAAAGGACACTGCTTCATCCGATATTAATATACCAAGATACATGAGAATTGATAAAGTTTCGAACTCGAGTTGGAATTGATCCTTTTTTTCCAAGATGAGATTGCACTAGTAGTAAGGGATTTTGGTGTTTCTAGACCATTGACAATTTTCTTGTTAGACCAATATTCGTGACCTTTGTTGAAGATTTATGACCCCCAATCCCAAGGATAGCCAAATCTTTTTTATTTTCTCTCTGGAAGGTACAATGTTTCAATTATAATGAAAGATTTTTCTAAATTAGTAAACGAACAAAGGTCACGAATGTTGGTCTAACGCGAGAATTTTCAATAATCTTGAAATGCCTGTACCTCTCACTACTGCATGCTATTATATTGTTGATTTATTTTAGTGTCACATACAATTTACTGTGATTGTTTTGCGTGCATAAAATGAGATATATGTATGAGCACAATCTGCATAATATCGTTTGTCACCAACATTACATAATCCAGATATTATAACGTGTTTTAGTCTTATGACAAATTGATCAGATCGCCATCATATCAATGTGGCTAACATCCTCCTAACGCAGCTTTATAATCATCAAATCATATAATCTCACCTTTTTATTTCTTTTGCTCGTTTCTTAGCTTTTTCATCTGCTAATTTTAGACATTACATTTTACTAAGTCCAATAAACTCTGCAATGGTAACAAAATTACTTTCGTTTTTAAGCTTTCCTATCACTTTCTTATTGTCGTTGCCGCAAAAAAAAATCATTGTTCTTCAGATGATCTTAAAGGTCAAACAGTTAATTATGCCCATACATATCCTTATATAAATCAGCAAATATTTTATAAATCAGCGAATTGGTGTCTGTGTACAGTAATTTAGCACTAGGCCAAACCATTTTGATAAAATCATAATAGATCCAGTACATTATCCACATTGATAGTTTCAACACTGTCATTACAACGTAAATTGGTTTATTTAGCCTTACAGTTGTCTTTTCTGGATTGCTACCAAGTTTTCCTTTAATATTTGCATGCTGACAAAAGTATCAGTTACTACAATTTTATTTCGTTGTTTGACATTATCAATAATCTTCACCTTA